CCCCCCCCCCCCCCCCCCCCCCCCGCCCCCCCCCCCGCCGCTCCCGGGCTTGGCTGAGCAACCCCTCGGCACCCCCTCAGCGCACCCCTCTTCCAACCCCGGCCCCGCTTGGCCCAGAGGCCGGGGTGGGATCCACCGCTTAACGCAGCCACCATCAGCTTCGGGGTGACTTTGCGGTTTTTTTCGGCTGGGGTTTCCCCCCCCACCCCACCTTCTTCTCCCCAAACGTGTCCCCGCCATCCTTAAGTGGCCGGATGATTTTTCTTCCCCCCAGCTCTGAACCGCAAGGCCGTCTCCACCGGCGCTGCCCATCTTCTCCCACCACTGCTGGATGCCAACGCCGGGGCCAGATTCAGCCTTGGCGAGAAGGTCACGGTACCTCCAGCCCACCGTCTTCCTCCCCACCGCGGCCAAGCGCAGCTCCGTGCCGTGGCCGTGGTGCAACGAAGGGGACGTCGGTCGTAGAGAAAACCCGTGCCCGGGGCGAGCGGAGAAAATCCCTGGGGAGGTTTCGGCTCTTTGGTTCATCCTCTCCTGCATGAGACAACCCCGGCTCTGCGGCTCCGCCGGGCGATGGCCGCACAGTGAAGATGTCTGTGGCCAGGCTCAACAGCGTCAATGGCTTTCTGGAGGACGGCAGGATGGAGGCAGGGGACATGGGCAGGATCCTCCGCTGCCTGGAGATGGGCACCGTCCTCACCTTGTTCTATCAGAAGAAGTCACAGAGGCCAGAGCGAAGGACCTTCCAGGTGAAGTTGGAGACCCGGCAGATCATCTGGAGTCGGACGCCCGAGAAGGTGGAGGGGGACAGTGAGTATCGGTGGCAGTGGCGCTGGGGGCTGGGGATGTGCCGGTGGGATGCCCACTCACGGTGGGGTGCCTAGCTGTGGGGTGCCCAGACGTGGTGGAGTGCCCTGCTGTGGTCAGATGTCCAGCTGCAGTGGGGTGCCTGGCTATGGGGTGCCCAGCCATGATGGGGTGCCTGGCTGTGGTGGGATGCCATACTGTGGTGGGGTGCCTGGCTGTGGGGTGCCATACTGTGGTGGGATGCCCTACCATGGTGGGGTGACTGGTTGTGGGGTGCCTGGTCATGGTAGAGTGCACGGATGTGGGGTGCCTGGCTGTGGTGGGATGTCCTACTGTGGTGG